ATTCATTAGGTCAACAACATCTGCTGGAATAGAGCTCATTCAGAGCTCATTCTGGAGGAAAAAGGCAGAAAATCGACATTTAAATGTGAGATATTCTGATTTATTTTGAAGGAGAAAACAGAAATTCTAATTCAAATTTTAGATATTCTGATTTATTTTGATTTATTTTAGTAATAAATCTGATTCCTAAATTAATTTGTCAGGGCGGTGGGTCTTGAGGGAGGACTCAGGTGCGGAGATGACGGAAAACAAGGTTTATTGTAAGAAAAAACACTCATGAAGAGTGAATGTCCAGACATGGTACAAAACAAGGCTGTGGAAAACTGTGAGCAAAGTAACAAAGCAATAAGTAAACCAGACTGTGGCAAAGTAACAAAATAAAGATTAACAAAACTGTGACAAAGCTGTGGTAAAACTGTGACTATGACAAAAATCAAACCTGGCCTTTCCATCATTTTATTGTAAAATCAGCTCCTATTTTATTCTATTTTTCTGTATCACCTGCTGGACCGGAGCTCACTCGGCTCCTGTTTCCAGATCTTCCACTATAACCAGTGTCCTGGAAATCAGAGCTGATTCTGGAGGAAAAAAGCAGGAATTCTAAGTTTAAATGACGGATATTCTGATGTTTTTTTATTTTTATTTCAGCTTCTTGAGGAAAAACTGACGTCTTTCCATCATTTTAGCATAAAACCAGCTCTTAAATTCTCCTATTTTTCTGTAAAACCTGCCGGACCGGAGCTGACTCGGTTCCTTTTTCCCAGATTTTCCACTATGACCACCCGGAGTCCAGCGTCCTGGACGGGGACTTTGACGGGCGCCTGCGGTGGCGCGGGACCCCGGACCGGGACGTCCAGACGGGCGCGGTGCTTCTGCTGAACGTCAGCCTGTCGGACGGCGGGACGTACCGCTGCGTGTTCAGCCGCACGCTCGTGCTGCCGCCCGACAACCAGCACGTGACCGTGGAGAAGGAGGTGGAGCTGCGCGTGGTGGAGGAAGGTGAGCGTCCAGAGGTGGGATCTTAGGCAGGAGGACTCGGTCGCGGAGATTTGTGAAAACAGGGTTTATTGTAACAAAAAAACGCACTCAAACGGAGTGGATGAAGACAAAGTTCAAAACAAGGCTGTGACAAAACTATGAACAAAGTAGCAAAGCAAGATTAACAAAACTGTGGCAA